TTTGACTGGTACAGGAGGAGATTGTTCCTCCTTCTCTAGAAAAGCATCTGGTGGATTTGAACCGCATACCTTTGGGATTGCAGTGTAGCTTCTTGCCACTAGGCCACCAGAGCTCGCCAAAATGAGTAGTTTTAAAAATAGTTTTTTCAAATTAAACATTCCAAATTTTTAAAAAAGGACCTACAGAGTTGTTTTCTTTTCCTGTGGTGTTTAGGCTTATACCAGCCAGTTTGTGTCCCTTGTGATGTTTGCCCTCATGATGTGTGATGACAGGATCTCCATGCAAGAACGACGCAAAGAGATCATGCTTGGGTTAAAACGGCTTCCTGGTATGAAAATAGTCACACATTGCATGTTTGTTGTCTGAAGTAATGGGTAGTAATGAGTACGATTCACTTCCTGTCTTTTGAAGCTTGTAGCTCTCCATTCAAGGAAAAAATTCCTACTTTTGTTTCTGTGTTTTTTAAAAAGTTCATATTGTGTGTAAAATGAAGGGAGCTCAGGTTACATATGATACAGTCCATTGGGATTGGTGCTGCTAAATGCTTTTATGGTTTGAATCTGCCACTAATGGTTCTGTGAGAGAACAATGGTTAGTCACCTCCTGTGCAATTTATAGCTTAAAAAAAATCCTCTGGAGATTAAACTGAGTCATTTTTGTCTCAATTACAGTGAACTTAAGTTTAAGTTAAAAATATTCCATAGAAGAATAGAAATGCTGGCCTTTTGTTGCTTGATCAGCAATGGCAATTAATAATAGATCTGTCAGTTCACTCTTCTTTCTCATAGCTTTTGCTAATATTACTTAACAGATTTGATTAAAGAAGTACTGAGTATGGATGATGAAATTCAGAAACTTGCAACAGAGCTTTATCATCAGAAGTCAGTCCTGATAATGGGGCGTGGTTATCACTATGCTACATGTCTGGAAGGAGCACTAGTAAGTTTTTTCACTTAAAGTGTATTTTGGGTTGGGGGACATGTGGGTTTTTAACGATGGCTGGTAGTTATATTCAATTTTAAATAAGATTCTTAGTAAGTTTTTTCACTTAACAGTTTATTTCATTCTATTGACTTGGGGCTTGGAACATAGAGATGGTTTTAGATTGAATAAGTGATATCTATAGAACTTTGTTTTGCTTGCTTTGAGATAGTGTTATAAGAGTACTTCCTTAAAAAATGAAAGTAAGAAGAAAAACTTTTAATGTGATAACTTGACCAGTAATGGGTTATTTTATTGCCAAATATAGACTAATATAAAGTTAGGTTAAAAATCTATGGATGTGAAATTCAGTTAGTCAAATTGAAACAGGCTGAATAAAATATGAGTTAAGTAAGTGCATGATAGCTTGAAATCCTTTTTGTTGTGGAGTTTTAATTATTGATTAGTATTATAGAAATAGTGAGTGTTCTCTTCACTGCATAACATGACCACATCTAGAAGACACTGTTCTTAGCAAAATAAGTAAATCACAAGCAGATTATTCCCATAATAATAGTTACTATAATAAGATAATTATAAATAGCTAAAGAAAAGTTCATTCTTGGATTGTTGCTGTTTATTCTCGGATCATTGCTAGGGATTGGAAGGGAGGGAGAGGGGAATAAAAACTAATAAATAGATGGGTTGAGTGAAGGGCAATGCAATATTATACAATAATCAGACAATGTCATTAATTAGAATAATCAAATGTAATTATTTGTTATTGTTATTAAACAAAATGTATATAAATGATCAAATTAAAAAAACCCAGTATGTTTTATAAAATTTCATTGAAAACGAAAAGAAATAATGGTGAGGGGTTTTTTTAACCTCTTAGTTGTATTTAGCAGGTCCGTTAAAATTTTGGATAAATCATAATACTTTGTATCAGATGCTTTGTATAAGTTTTTTTTAGGGTTGGTTTTTGAAAGACCCACATTAGAATAATCTCCCTTTTTGCCCCATTAGAAAATTAAAGAAATTACCTACATGCATTCAGAAGGCATCCTTGCTGGTGAGTTGAAACATGGCCCTCTGGCTTTGGTGGATAAGCTGATGCCTGTCATTATGATCATCATGAGAGACCACACTTACGCCAAGTGTCAGAACGCACTCCAGCAGGTGGTTGCTCGGCAGGTCAGTCGGGGGCTTTTGTGAGCGTATGGTGGAGATTGACAGGGTGGGTCTTTAAAGCTTATTTGAACTTTATGAATCTTAAAGTAATATATCAGTACCAGGTAGGTAGCTACTAAAAATTTTCATACTCATTAAATCATTTGCTTTAGACTATAATCAGTGTGAAGAATGGTCAGTTTTGAGGTGGCACCATTCATAAATCTCGTAATGGCCATAGCCAAGATCAAAACTTAGAACTTGATCTTTAAATTCTGTCTTCTTTCAATTAGCAACTGATGCTCCCTTTTACCTGTTATTAACTCTTTGTCAAGTCAGTTCTGACTCACAGAATGAACATTGCTTGGTCTTGTTTCCTCCCTAGATAAGCCATTATTATTTGAGCTCATTGTTGCTAGTATTCAGTCTGTCTTGTTGAGGGACTTTTTTTTTTTGCTGACTGTTATGTTTTACAAAGCATAATGCTCTTCTTCATAATGCTATTTCTGAAGAAAATGAGTGTTCAAAATCTAGGTTAATATTACAGATACTATGTTTAACCGAGATTTCTTCAGATCAGTTGATCTTATTAGGAAGGCATAGGTAGTGATTACAGACCAGAGTTTTGTATGCCGGCATGCCAGCCGGCGGTCCTGCATTCAAGTACTGGGCCAAGTGTTTCCGAGTTCTGTGAATTTAAACAAATCTCAAGATCCTACTAACCCTCCATTTCCACAGTGAGATAGTCACACTTACTTCATAGAGAATTACAAATTGAAATAAATTAATGAGCAATGCCATACATGGACTGTACACTGCAAAATGTGCACATCTTGTTTGCTATAACCCTGTCTTTTCTCCACTGACGTGTGTGTGGGCAATTGGATTTTCTTTTCCAGGGACGCCCTGTGGTGATCTGTGATAAGGAAGATACTGAGACCATTAAGAACACAAAACGAACAATCAAGGTGCCCCACTCCGTAGACTGCTTGCAAGGCATTCTTAGTGTAATTCCCTTACAGTTATTGGCCTTTCATCTTGCTGTGCTCAGAGGCTATGATGTAAGTAGCCCACCATGACTGAAGTCTTGTGTGATATCTCTTTTCTCTGGGTTCTTTTTAAAAAATTTATGCTGAAATTGTGTTGGTTTGGATACAAAATTTGTTTTGTGCTTCATTCATATACTTTGTGTTTCACACGTACCTTCATTCACATTTTGTTTCATACAATCATTCCCATACTTTGTGTTTTATAAAATTAATCATCATTGATCTGTGCCCACTATTACCCCGTCTTTTTAGGTCCTTATTGGATCTTTCCTAATTTCTTAACCCAGTCTCTCCACACACCAAACTCTGTCTCTGTGATTCTCCACTCCTCCTAACCTCCAGCCTCAACCTCCCCACTACCCCCTCTCACCCTTTGGACTCTTATACACATCTTAGTAGTTATCCTTCTATTTTTAAAGTAGTTGTCTTATGCAGTATTTGTCTTTGTGAATCTGGGTTTTAGTTCACTCAGCATAATACTTTCCAGATTCTCCCAAGTTATATTATTTTTTATTAAATTGCTGCTTCTTATTCTATTTTGTGAATGTACCATAGTTTGTCAATCCATTTGATGGATACTTGGGCTGTTTCCATTTTCTTGCTATTACGAACAACGCTGCTGTGAACATTGGTGTACAGATGTCTTTTGTGTCTCAGTTTTAATTTCCTTGAGGTATATTCCTACCAGTGGAATAGCTGAGTCACACGGAATTTTTATGCTCAGCTTTTTTTATTTAATTTTTTTTTAATTTGTTCAGCTTTTTAAGGAAATGCCAAGCTGCCTCCTAGAGGGGTTATTTCCACTTTACAATCCCACCAACAGTGTATGAAAGCTCCACTCTATCCATATTCTGGATACATCTTAATAGTTTTCTTCCCCAGCTTTTGACAGTGTGAGAGATCTATTAGATAAGTATCTGTCACCTGATTTGTTTGCATAGCCTGTTTTTAGATTGCACCATAGCCTTTTATTGCCTTTACAATGTGAAGAATCTTGGAGATCACCTCCATAATGGTGGCTCTCTTTGGGGAGTCCCCACTTAATTTCTTGGTACAATATTTTTCAAATGGTACTTTGAAGCAGAGCGATTCTTTGTGGTTTGAGACTGTTATGCACTCTGCAGGACTTTTCATATTCTCCATCTCCTAGTCTTTGTGACAACATTCTATGTTTACACACTTTCACTGTTCCCCTTATAGAGGACCACTGCAGAGCTTCCTATGCTGAACTGACTCTTTTAGAATTCTTTTTCCAAATGATTTCAGGTTTTTTCAAAAATTTTTTTTTACTTTTCTTTTTTTAAAATTTATTATTAATTTCAATGAAAATTGACAGAGGCTTTGGATTCCCATTCATTTGTTGTACTTTTCTCCCCTCCCAACCCTCCTCCCTTTTTTCAAGATATTATGATTATATTTTCTAACATAATTTTTGTAGTCTATAATAAAAATGAACAATGAACATGCTATTTCTTTTTTTAAAAAAATATTTTGCCTTTAGAGACTATCTCCCCTCACATGTATAATCTCTCACATAATGCCTTTTTCTTTTTTTTCCCCCAAGGTTGATTTCCCACGGAATCTTGCCAAGTCTGTAACTGTAGAATAAAGGGCATCTGAAACTCTGGACAATCGAGCAACACAAGACACCTTTTTGTATTTAAAACCTTTGATTTAAAATACCAACTCTTTTAAACCTTTTTTAGTAAATCTTTATTTATATATCAGTTAAAATTATTTCACTCTGTGACATTTGTGAAAATTACCTCTTTTATTTTTCCAGTAACCTGTACAGGAGTTTGAATAATGAAATTCCTGTTGAATTCCCGTGCTCGCTATTTTAATCTAAGAGGACTGTGTGTTTTTAAAGCCATTAGCAGTTGTTTTGCCATGCCAGTCAGACTAGTGAAAGAGTAGAATATCTCAAGTCTGTGGCTATGTTATCTATTATGTGGACCTTTAATTAAGGCTTTTCTAAGCTATACATAAAAAGCAGATGATGTGATTGATTGTGAAACTTTTTTGGGGGGTTCTGTTTTGAAGTCAAACTATAAAGAATTAAAGCTGTATACTTTTTTGGGTGGAATTTATATCTAAGTTATAATTTCTCAAACTGGTACTTGCAAGAATCTACAAATCATGACAATATAGGAAATAAAATTTCAGTAATAGTTTCCCACAACCCTTAACAAAGTACATTTGTCCAAATTTACAGCACAGACTCTAAATCCAAATACTTAAGATAGCCAGCAATATGATTTCTTCTTTTTAACAATATGATTTTAAATTTGAAGATGTACAAGTTAGACATCCTACTCCTTATATTTTCAATTCCTAAAAATGATTATTTTTATGTTCTTGTTTTATTTTTAAAGAAACTGCTAAATGACATCGTTTGTCTTTTGAAATCACATTAGAGAGCTCCTATCAAATGTCTCATTAGTAGTACTGATTTTGGTGCCATGCCTCTTCAGCTTTGTCCCAAGGAAAAATGTCCTGCAGTTACTTTTTATTTTCCTTCATTGTTCGTTTACATCAAGCTAGTTCCTTAGTGTCGTTTGCAAGATCTTTTTGCAATTATTTGGAAGACATGCAAGTCTTTGAGCAATCGCTTGACTTCAATATATATGGTAGACTAAGCTCAGAAAAACTGTGTACAATAATATTGGTGAACAAGTATAACAAATATAGTGTTGTTTCCTAGATATTCTGTTTCTATTTTCCTTTTTTACTCCTTCTCTTCCTCTACTTTGACCTTTTCTTCTCTTTTCCTCTGCTTCCTTCTCTTTCAGATCTTGTTTTATTTTTTGTGTGCTGAAGTTTTTCTTAATGTTCAGTTTGCCCAATTTCCTGTAGTTATTCTTCCTTAATGAATATTAGATGTTGATTATCTATTTAACATTTGTTATTACATTATATTTAGCATATGACAATGTATAATGTCATTTACATGGCAAATAATATTTTTTTTATTTTATTATTTACCTTTTTTTAATGGGTTTTTGCAACTCCTCCTGATTTTTGTGTAATCAGATAGGTAATTCTTTTCCCTTTTTGTCAACAATTAAGGGGCTAAGGAAAAAGGAAACACTTAGATAACAAAGACTATGAGTAAAGTTTATCTTGGAGCATTGGGTAGGTCATGATGAAATTTGCACTTAGATTTGTGGATGAAGCCTTGGGGAAGCTGAGTCTCCAGACAGAATATTGAAGAAGCTGTTATAATGATCCACATTAAAGACAATAAGGGTCCAAGTTGGAAGAGTGGTGATGAGAACAGAGTACCTCCAAGAAGACTTTATAGGCAGTCTACTTTTTTTTCTTTTTAAGCAATAAAAGGAAAAGACTAGTAGTATTAATTGTAACTGTTATATGCAACAACTTGGTTATTCTGAAAAGCACAATGTCATTTAAAAGTATTTATTAGACAATGAATAATAGCTTACATTGAATTTGTAAAGACCAAAGAAATTGAAGGGAATGGTAGAAAATGATATTTTAGTCTTCTGATTCCAATGTGTTTTGTAGATTTTTGTGTACAAGAATAACAAAGTGTTTTATCCATGGAAAATGATTTGAAATTACTTTATTCTAGCTGTTAAAATCTGTAGAAGTTTTAGCTTAAATAATTTTGTTTAACTCTGTCTCCATTGCTTAATTTAATAATATCTTCAGATGTGACAACCAGGAAAAATGATAACATTAATTTCAGTAATATCCAGGTTAAAAGAAAAACCACACTTAACTAGTAAGACTGGAAAGTTATGCCCCATTAATTTAAGTCTGTCATAGCTTGATATGGAAGATAGCATGGCTGGTGAGAACATCTTAGGAAATTCTTGAATTAATCTTTCTTATTGTACTAGTTTTCAGAATGAATATAGTAATAATCCGGTTAGCTTTTAAAATGCTCTATGATTGAACATGTTTGCTTAAATAAAGTTTTTTTTTGTTGTTTAAAAATTCTTATTATAAACTGGAAATTTTAGAATCATCTTTGCTGTGTATCAGTTTTCAGTTCTTTGAAATGAATAGTGAACCAGTGGGTTCTTCTTTTTATGTCTTGAATGTCCAGTGAATTTAAGCCTGAACTGTGAATAAATTACCAAAAATTTGCAAGCATTGCATTTTTGAAACATATGCCAATATTTGAAGTATATATACTTTTTCAGCCACATTAAAGATTGTATAGTACAAAGAATTTAGCTCATGTTTACTTTTGTTGTTAAAAAAGGAAATAAATCATTACATAAATATTATCAAAAGCTACATGTTTCCATCTTAGCTTCCTGATTGCTTTAGAAAGATTCAGATAAAGCAAAAGTCTGTACTCTTTTTGTTTGTGTTTCATACTCAGTAGATAATCTTTGAATCTGTTTAAAAGTTTTGAAATACTATGTGGTTTGTAGTAAAAGAAGGATATTTCAGATGGATGAGTCACAAAATAATGTGATACCTTAATTATAAAATAAAAAGTGATGGTTTTTTTTGTTTGTTTGTGTGTGTGTTTAAAATTAAGCTAGAATTTCTTTCCCTTCTGGCGTACAGCACTGTGTCTTACAGGAGATTTATGCCAGGATAGTTTTAATGAATGAGGTGGACTTCCCCCCCCTTTTTATTTTTTTAATTAATTTTAATGAGATTTTACAGAGACTTTGGATTTCCATTCATTTGTTGTTGCACTTTTCTCCCTGCCCACTTGGTCCCCCCAATTCGCTCTTCTCTTCAGAAAGTAAAAGAAAAATTCTTTCATA